ACCAATATTCTCACAAGCTTTCCAGGAGAGAGTGAACGAAGTTGTGTTGGATCATTTTCTTGTTCAAGTAAACAAGTTTTACTATAAATCATCAATCATATTCCTTGAACAACTTCGCGAAAATAACAAGTATGGCTTTTCCGTCTAACAAAACTAATAACCCACCATCGAACAGAATTGGTCCATTCAAGTAAAGCGTGAAAGAATCTGGAGCTGATCTAGTAGCGGTAAATTTATAATGGACGCCTTCATAATGAAATCGATGATGAAGACGGTGCGCATATATATCTCTGCTAAGGATTTGTCCTTTCTCCAAGAAGCGTTAATATTCCATTATGGCTGCTGTATAAGCCCAATTTCCCGGGTTGCAGGAAGCATATCACGGTCTTGAAGAGAGAAATTTTCTAATTCATCATCATGTTATTTGGTATTTCAATCTTCCAGAGTTTAATGTCGTTTGGTATCAATTTTCTCTTTGATCAGATCCTTTAACTCGCTCTTACCGTTCAGTAGCAGGCACATCCCCACGAACCCAACAAAAAAGAGTAATATCACTTCGATTCTTCTTTGATGGTCGAAAATTTTCTTATCTTCAACAAGTTTTCTTTTTTTGGAATTCTATGTAATAAATAAATTTAGCTTATTAAATTATACTTACACAAGAATTTCATAATATTTTACTTACTTTTCCACATTCTTCGATCACTCTCAGCCAAATGTTCGCAAATCTTTCACGTAACGCAAACGTTCTTTATCTATCTGTTGTGAGATAGAAGATTGTTAGAGTGGACAAGTTTATATTTCGTGATAAAGGAAGGCACATAGCCGGTTCCTCTCCAGAATCGGCAGACCTTTACCAGCAAACAAAGTTAGGGCGCCGGAATTGAGACCCTTGGAGTGGATACCAAGTCTGTCAACACAGTAATTCTCCTGAGTAACCCCCCAGTAGTAGTGTTGTAAATTGACCAGCTTTCAAGAATGGAATATCCAAAATAAAAAATACCAACACTGTTTCTGAGAGCCAACTAGGAGTTGCCCTTCCTTTGCAAAATATAAAAAACGCACCTTTTCTTTCAAAGACTTCTTTTCTTCCAATAATTTTCCTGCCTTTTCCAAGAATTGTTTGGACCAAGAATAGTCAAGGTCGTGCCAGCTTTTCGAAAATGACAAATCAACGATTTTTTCGCGACACATTCAGAAATACTTGATAAGACCAATTTGAGTATTTCTTCAGATAAGATATGAGAACTAAGAAAAAAAAAATTAAATACTGCAGAGACTGGAGTTTTTTATATCACGTTAAATGCCGCTTGCAATATTTACCGGAACGGGCGGAATATTTTATGGAAGTGCTCATGGCTGGCTGGGTGTCAACTTGCGAAAATATTATTTTAATAAAAAAAAAAATTACGTTCAGAGTTTAACGCATATGAGGGTTCTTAATATAAAAAAACGCGAAAAAAAACTAAGAACGCGAAAATTAAGCTTTTTAAATCCGATCGATGAGGCGCCGTTCTTGTTCAAAAGTCCCCGGATTATTTTTGGTTAAAACCCGGATCATCCGGGGTTGAATTATAAATATATCCATACTCGACAGGCAGGCACAAAATCCCGGTTTACTAATTTACCCCAGGCTCTTATTGGTTAATGCGATAAAGCTTTCCGATTGGTTTATTTCGATTACGTACACGTGTTCACAAGGCAAAATTTCCGTATCAAATTTCCCATTGTATAATATGACTATAACCGTAGAGCGCTGACTAAAACCACCCCCCATGCAAAAAGGTTTTGGGCTGAAATTTTGTAAAAGACCCGGGTGGTTTAAATAGGAGGTTTTTTTTAGTCAGAAAAGTAGAATTATAAATCATGTCCATTACGATATTTATTTAGCAAATACATATTTTATTTAATTTTAAAAAATTCAAAAATAAAACTTTATTATTTATTCAAACATCAGCAAAATTAATAT